TCGAATAACGGTGGTCATCGCAGTGATACTGACGTGTGAATCGTTCATCATAACTTTTTGTGTCTGTAATGTCTGTTGTCGTGATCGATATCTCACTCTCACTCATCTTCGCTTCCTCTCTCCGTCGCCCTCTCTCTCTCTCTCTCTCTCTCTCTCTCTCTCTCTCTCTCTCTCTCTCTCTCTCTCTCTCTCTCTCTTACACACACACACACACATACACACACACACACACACACACACACACACACACAAGTGCAGTAGTGTACATTTCCATGTTCTAGCGGTAGATTCATTCGATTTTGCTCACCCTATCGATGGAAGTACCATAAAGTTGGCCGCGAGATTGAAGACTTACCTGTTCTCTCGTCTTCCTCAATGTCGTTGTCGGCGCCAGTCAACAACGGACGACACCCTCCGCAACACAACACGATCCGTCACGATGTGCAGCATACCGAGACCATAACATTGGGGACACGACAGGCACAAGCACACATTCCAACAAGTCGGGGGATCAAAGGCCCAACCTCACGACGCCATAGGCGGATGCATCACACATCCCGTAAGTCTCCACCCTCACATATGGTAATCAGCGGATGCAGGGACGAGGTCACCTGCACCACAACTCCATGGCGTCATTCGGATGGCAAAGAGCGCAAAGCTTTATTACCAAGTCGCAACTCCTCTCAAGACAAATGGAATGTGTCATGGTGAGTGCGGGCGTGAAGACAACACCACAACAAGGTAGCAACCGCTCTCTCTTGAACCTACGAGGTGAGGGTGTTGAAACTGAGAATACAATACTCAATAATAATAATGTAATCAGGAGCTTTAATCTCACGGAACAGATTACATCATTTGCGTAGCTCATCCTGCACTCACAGTCCTTCCGCTCCGTTGTATCCGCTCAGACTGCATTCGAACTCACGCTCGAAGTAGATCTACTTATACCCTATGCTAGCGAGGGAATACCCTTCGCGTTCCTAAAATATATATCTATTTGACGATATATATATAAAATAAATTGAAATAAAATAAATAAAACTTAATATATATATTATATATATAAATGCCGAAATGCAAAATTGCAAGAAATTTGCAAAAATGAATGAAGGAAGACGTCATCAATTTTGTCTCTTCCAACCGACTGTATGGTTGAGCCTTCTTTCTCGTCTGAAGACCGGAAATCCCGTCTCCCACTGATAACGTGTTTTCCTTCCGCCAAAATTCCTGAATGGGATCGAGGCAACGAAGTTCGACGTTTCCTGCTTGGTACTGCTTTCATTACTCGCTCGAAGTGTTGGCTTCTGACATCGTGAAATATCTTGTCAGGGATCCGCTTTGTTGTGCGCAGAAGATATCACCCTTGTCCTTTTTTTCTGATTTTTCCAAATCTCGTCCCATTTAGGTGAAATCCCAGCGTTAGCCTAGACAGAAAAAGTCAGTAAAAAACTGAGTCGCTTTCTGCCTCCGCTGTATCAGTCGAAGTTTGACATCTGCCTGTATAACTCTGAGAACAACTGGTACATATTTGACCACACCTTCCCTTCCACCCTCCTAGAGACTTTTTTTAAAGCACACAAAAACATATCGTTATGATATTCGAGAAACCTCTATTCTCGTCTTAACATCATTAAACTCACAGGTAAGGTGGTTGGGGCTGCGTTTATACGGTACAACGTCCCTACAATAAAGACAATTTTTTATTTTCTTGAGCAGAAAGAGTCTCCACGTTGCGTGGTCATAAAAATGTGGTCTTCACGTCTCCATATTGTTTCTGAATTTTTGAATTTATGGATAAAGAAGATTTCGTCTGGGTTTGACAACGAAAAACATTCCTAGAAATAAATAATAATTCTATAGTAAAATTACAATCTAAATTTCAAATTTTCATTCCATCTTAAAAAATGTCATTCCAATTTTAAAATTTTCCATCTTACTTGGAAACTTTCATTCCAAGAATAGGGTATCCCTTCTTATTTGGAATGCATGCTAGAGGTGGAATGAAAGTCTGAATGAGTTCATGAAATATTTTAATTAGACTGTCATTCTAAGTAAGGATTTTCAGCCATAAATAGGTTAGTCAAATCTAAATTATAAGATATTTGTTGTAGTATAATGAAAATTTAATTAAAACAGTTCATAAACTCGTCCAGACTTTCTTAAACAAATAGATATAGTTTGAAGGGAAACTCATATTTAGACGAAAACTTATCAAATAAAACTGGAAATGTTAGAATTGGATGAACATTATAATGATAATTTATAAATATGAAGAATTTATTTTTTATGGAATGTTTTTTCAACTTTCATTTCTCATGGGAATTTTTCTGTTGGATGTCACCAAAATTTTAGTTTCAAAAAAATCCACGACGTTGGTGTCGTCATCAATTCGTTCCAGAATCAGACTCTTGTTATAACAATCTGTAATTCGTTTCAATCTTCGTTCTGCTTTTTCTTTTTCGTTGCATTTATTCTCGTGTCATGTGATGAGCATTAAATCATCGATAAATCGTTTTCCACATATAAGTTTCTTTTCACTTCCCAGGGATTTTATGTAATAGTTTTCTGCAAACATGCACACCAGGCATGCGAGTGATGGGCTCGCGTGTCCACCCATCGGGATGCCTGTGTTCTGTTTGAGTATTTCCCCGACTGATTTGAAATAAATAATTTTCAGTAAAAAATCCGCGAGTTTTTCAAGATTGGATAACCTGACCGACCTCCATCCACTCTCACCTGCAGTCTTGGCAAATTTTGCACATTTTTCTCTTACTTTTATTCTGACCTACTGCCTCCCTTTCTCCCTGAATTCTTCCATGATTCATTTTACCGTCTGTCGTATGTCTTCGTGTGGGATTGCTGTGAGCATTTCTTTTATATCGAAGGTGCGAACAATAATCTTATTATTTTAAGAATACTTATTTACCATGAGATTCACATTCTCAGGTGTTGGTTTTAGATCTTGGGTGACAAGCATGTTGAAATGTTCTTTTTTTGTGGATTTTATCATTAAATTCAGAGCCTTTGTCAAAAATTTTGTGGCAGATCTTATTGGACTTTGGTAGGACGGGCAAATCGATCATTTTTTATTTAGATCCTTATGTTTGTTCATGATAAATGAATCTTGTATCTTCCCGTCTCTATTCCAGTTCATGATTCTCCTTAGTTTCTTCGATTGATATTCCTTTTTCATTATGTTTAATATTTATGTTTTGGTTTCACGGATCTTAACATACTTGTCATTTTTATTGAACGTCTTCATCATTCCTTGATGATAGTGCCATGGACATTTCACCAATGTACCTCCTGGGTTACGATCAAGGGGTGAAAAAACGAGTCCATGTAGAACCGTCTTCACTCCTTTTACGTATTCCACCAGTACTTTGTTTTTTCTTTGTAGACCTCGTTTTTTACATACTTTCAAACTCTTCAATTTGACAGAGTCATGCAATTAAACCAGACCAGCCTTTTATGACATCATTGCAAGCAGTTTGTACTTCTGTCACATCACTCATTCGACTGGGAGTAGGTACATTCCATGAATTGTGTAAAAATGAGTCAATATCTGGGATATCACATAGTCCAACCTGAACGTGCCCGTTGATTTTGGGCAGGTTGAATTCAACACAGACACACGTTGCTTTATTTTTTGCCGCGTGTTTCTGATTGTGCAGAATATTTGCAATGGATCCGGATTTTGTCCGGATTACTCGAAGTTTTTTCTGCATCAGGCCACTTAGTTTTTCCCCAAGTATTTTTTCACGTATCCATTCACTCATCTCAACACGAACTTGCTTCTTTTCAATTGTTTCACTGTAGGGCAATTTTACAACCAAACGTATCTTGTGATTAATTTCAATTCTTCGCTTGATTTCTGTCGACAGGATTCCTCTCAGGATTTGACTTCCTTTGTTATTATCAATACATTTCATTCTTTTCAAGTAATCAAGTAAGACATCAATGTCCTTAACTTTCAATTCCTTTCGTTTCCATGGGGCTCGCAATAAAGAAATAATCTCAGATTTGAAGCGATCAGCAGCGGATTTGGTTTTTATAAGGCATTTAATAATCAATTTTCCTCCTTGCTCGATATCGTCCTTTGCATCTTTCAACAACATCTTAATAACAATTTTACTAGATTCGAACACCAATTTTATCAGCCTCCACGATTTTAACCAGGTGCGTCCTGCTTTATTTTGGATAGTGATCGGTCGTTTTCGATGCTTTACTGTTTTTAATAACTTCATCAGATTGAAAGTTGGGAAGTGATTAATATTGACGGAGGAAAATATCAAAAAATCATTCTTAATTTAATTCTTCGGATTTACTTTCTTGGATTTCCTCGATCGTCGAGGTCTTGCACGAGGTTTCTGCTTACGGATGTTCAGTCACGGATTCTCTTGTTTTATTATCTGAGATTCAATGTCTTTAAGCTAATCTTTTGGGCCAAACCATAGAGGGATCATTGTGTAAGATTGCATTCCTTTCTTTTCAAGCAGTTTGTGTAAACGGAAAACCGGTTTTGACACCGCCTCTCGTCGGTGTTCACCCCATCTTTCGTCAATTGATCTACTGGTTTATCCTACGTACACAGTTTTGAAGAAAGGCGAAATCATTACATAGACACAACTTTCTCCCTCTAGTAGCCTTTCGAGGTCCACCGTATCTAGAGCAGTCTAATACTTAATATAGGTGAAACTCCATCTAATGAATCCATTCAAGCACCCCCAGAGTACGACGATTTTAAATACCCTGTCGACCGACTTCCTAAGTTTTATCAAATCCCTCCCATTTTCCTTTATCGTAGAGAGATAATTGTCCAGTTGTCTAAGGGCTTGCAACCAAACCCTTTTTGAGTTTCCCTCTAATTTCCCGCCACGTCATCATCATCATCAGTCTGTTGTTCGGATCCCGCCTCATATGTGGCTTCGGCGTGATCGGTTTCGTCGCCATCTTCCTTGTTGACGAGCTTCGTGTACTGCTCGATGTCTTGCTTGGCTAATTCCCAAGCCCCTTTATCCTTCCGAATGCACTTCAGTCCTCGCTTCGTGCAGAGCGCTCTCACGTCTTTGAGAGTCGTGCGCATATAGTGATCTAGTCTCTCCTTCATGTATTTAATGACGTCCCCCTCCTTGCTTTTTTTTTTCTTCTTCATCGTCTTCGGCTTCAGTGGAGTCGTCACTCATTTCTCCTTCTTCTTTGTCTTCATCCAACTTTTCCTTTCCTTTCTCGTTCGCCTTCTCAATCTCGGATTCGGTTTCCTCCGCTGCAGCTTCCTTATGTTTCTCTTCTCCTCGGATGTTTCCGTCTCCCTCCTTCATCTTGGTTTGTCGGACCAACGATCCTAAAATATTTAGGATCGCTTCTAGTTTCTTATCGCCCTCGTTTGTCGGCATCTCGTGTTTGACATCGGTGGTGTAGTTCTCCTGTGCTTTCCTCCTATGATCTTCATCATCATAGGAGATCAGGATTCGTGGTTGTCTAACCTTAATCCCTCCACTTATCGACTTCGATCGAATTTCCACCTTACTTAGTGTTGGTGAACTCACTGCCCGCTTCAGCTTCTCGCTACTCCCCATTTTCTTCCCGCTGCATTCACTCTCTAGAGTTGTTGCCTTCTTTTCGATTTCTCCAGCTTCTCTAACTTCTCGTTTATCTTCTTGAGCGACGACCCAAAGGTACTTGAGATCCATGACTTGATCCGCTCTTCGCTTCCGTCGATGTTGCTACTACTACTCTTTTTACTCTTCTCCTTCTTGTTCGTCCGCGTTGACGTCGTGCCACTGAACTCTTCACCGTCCTTCTTCTTGGCGTCTTCAATTGCGTCCCTCGTTTCCCCCCTTTCTATCAAGTCCATGTGTTCTTTAGTGAACCATGCTCGGTTCCCCGGATCCGGGAACTTGTTCGTCGATGGTGTTCGCGGAGGAACACTTGGTGCATTCCACGCTCCTTGCCATCCTTGCGGAGGAGGTGTGGAGGATAATAGCTTGGTTGATATGGCGCTTGATACGGCTGAGGCAGTGCAAGTTGAAGATTGCCTAGATGTGGTTGTGGCGCTGGTCCTTGTTGTACTGTGATCGGAGTCGAGTTCGCCATAGTAGGAACAACTCCGATCGTAGGCAGTGGGGTTTGCACCCCAGCTGGGTACTCCATCCAGTATTTTCTGCACCCTGACCACCGTCCACGACCGCGCCCTCGTCCGAACATATGCCAAGATAGTCGTCACACCTTAGCCAGGTCTTCGGTGAATTCGAGAGCAGCGCCTTCCGGAAAGCTTCCCTTCTCAGTGGAGCCACGAATCTCATGCTATCTCTCCCACTGATAATAGAGAAGGAAATTAGGATAATTAATATCATAACGGTGATAATAATGACGATTTACGATATTCAATATTCACTGGACATGATACTACGCCAGAGATCTGCGCTCTCTTCGTACACTTCCTCCTTCATCACCTGGAACTACGTTGCCATGAATGACCCGAAGTCACTTTAGGTAAATGACGAGGGAAGGTAGAGGAAGGGAGGTGCTGGTGAAGTGTTCCCGAGCATTAATGCGAGGTCGTTTCACCAGCTCACTTGAGAATACTCAATAATAATAATGTAATCAAGAACTTTAATCTCACGGAACAGATTACATCATTTGCGTAGCGCATCCTGCGCTCACAGTCCTTCCACTCCGTTGTATCCGCTCAGATTGCGTTTAAACTCACGCCCGAAGTAGATCTACTTATACCCTATGCTAGCGAGGGAATACCCTTCGCGTTCCAAAATATATACAGCCTCCTGATGAGTCGGTGAAACTCCGACGAAACAGTTTGTCACAGCCCCTCGTTTGTTGTCCTCTTCTCTCTCTCTGCCTACGGTTTACCGGGCAGT